TACTTCTTGCCTAGCTCACACTGCGAATTTTTTTCGAAGCTCTATACTAAACATTAAATCTGTTACGAAAAAAGAACTAAACAAAACGAACACAAAACGATCAGCTTTAAAAAAGGACTCGTAACTGGAAAAACCGAATGAAAAAAGAATGTTAACAACAAATACTTTTTCACACTCAACCCAGTTCTGCGGAATCAGAATCAACGTTGAGTTTAAGCAAGCGAATGAGCTAATTGGAGTAAAGTGCTATGTAGATTTCAATTTTTCCCACTTGTAACGAATGCAGCTATCGATTTTTTGCATGCTAGTTAACATTCGTGTCAGTCAGCTGTTGGCTCACAAGCTGACCAATAGAATCTTCCTGCCTATTCGTGGCAGCCAGCTATCGGCTCTCACAGTGGCCAGTAGAAAATGGCCGCAAACTACATGAAAATTGCCGTAGAAGCATGAAAAAATCGATTATTTCCACTATCGATGGATGTTGGGAAATGCAATGTCGATCTTGGCCTTCTCACTAACTTGGAGCATGTGCATGTAAATTTTGGTGCAAATCTGTCGAAAATTGCGGCCGTGCATTCGTTACACACACACACACACACACACATCCTGCCTTTTATAGATAGAAATATTCCTCTCTTTTTTTCATATTGCTCTTTCTGCCCCACTCCCTGTCTTTTCTCTCGTTTTCTTTTTATCTATTTTCCTCTCTTTTTCTCTAATGTATTTTTCACTTTCCTTCTCCTTTTAATAGTTTTTTTTTTTTTGTTTTACTTTGAATTTCTTTCCCTTCTTATCTTCTCCAGTGGCGTACAGTGGTTTGGTGATTTTTAGTAAATGCCCGGTGGGGGCAATTACTTAATTGTATGACTCATGTAGGCGAGTGGGTGCCTATAGGGTCAAATAGCGAGAAATATGAAAAAAGAAGACATTTTTAATATGTAAAAATAGATGAAACATGAAATAAACACTTTATTCAAATTAAATATAAACTAAATTTTTATTTCACTTTTTGATTGTATGGATTCCGGATATGGATGCCTGGGGCCTTACACACCCTCTGCCTCACCTTCTACCCGCTACTGCACCCTTTTTCTTTCTGCCTAAATCTTTCTCATATTATCGTTTTCTTTCTTTCTTTTCTTTCTTTTATATTTCTTCCTCCTTCTTTCTATCTTATTTCTCTTTCTGTTTCATTCTTTTTTGTTTTCTTGCTTTCTTTCTCTTTCTCGACTTTTTTCTTTTCGTTTCTCTTTTTTTTTAATTTTTTTTTTCAATTCTCTTCTTCATTTCTCTTTGTTTTTCAATCACCACCCCCCGTTTTTTTTCGCTTCCTCTTTTTCTCTCTTTCACATTTCTTTCACTGTGTCATTTTTTTTCCTTCTCGTTTTCTATCTCTTTCTTTCTATTAACCTTTGTCTTCCCTTCTTTCCTCATTTCTCGTTGTGCCTTTTTTTTTAAATATTGGCTTTCCGATATAGTTCACTCTGTCACACGTTCTAATTTATTTTTTTTCTCTCATTCTCTTTTTCTTATATTATTTTCTGTCTTTCTTTCTTTCTTTTCCTTTGTATTTCATTCTCTCTTTCTGTTTCTCTTTTCACTTTCTGTCACACACATTCTTAATGTTTTTCATGCTTTTTTTCACTTTCTTTCTTTCTTTCTTTCTTTCTTTCTTTTTTTTACGTTGCAGTTCCTTCTGTCACTCGTTCAAATTTCTTTTTTCTCTCATTCTCTTTATTCTTATAAAATTTTATTTATTTATTTATTTACGCTGCAGTTCGTTCTGTCACTCGATCAAATTTTTCTCTCTCATTCTCTTCCTTCTTGTATTATTTTCCTTCTTTCTTTCTTTCTTTCTTTCTTTCTTTCTTCTTGGTATTTTTTTTTGCATTTCTTTTCAGTTTCTGTCACACACATTTTTAATTGTTTTTCTTTCTTTTATTTTTCTCTTTTTTTCAGTTTCTTTTTTCACTTCTCGCATTTTTCTTCCTTCCCTTTCGGCTTTTTCTTCTCCTCTTTTTCTCTCTTTCACATCTCATTCATTGTTTCAATTTTATTCCTTCTCGTTTCCTTCTCCTTTCCATTTTCCTTCGTCTCTCTCTCTCTTCTCTTTCTTCCTTCCTTTCTCGCTATGTTCTTTTCACTCTCGCTCTTACTTTGTAGATCTTTCCGTCAATCTTTCTCATTCTCTGTTTGTCTCATTTTTTTAATTCTTTCTTGTATTCTCGTTTCTTTTTTCCATTTTTCTTTGCGCTATTTCCGCATTCTCTTTCTCCCTTACCTTGAGGTTTCATTTTTTTTTCAATTTTTCTTTTCTCTCATTCACTCTCTTTCTTCTTCTTCTTCTTCTTCTTCTTCTTCTTCTTCTTCTTTTACTACTACTACTACTAGTACTACTTCTTCTTTTCTTTGTGTTCCTTTTACCTTTCTTTCTTATTTAATCATTTCCATTTCGCGTTTTGCTTGTTTATTGTTTTTTTTTTTTCGTTTCTTTCTTTAATGTATTACAGGACTGACTTTGATATTCCATTTCAATCAATTTAGTTTGCAAAATAAACGTTTAAGCCGTCAGGACGGACTTCCATTTTCATTACACCATAGAAACCACATTGAGCGAATGTAAACAGAAAAGTAAATTTATGTTCTAATATATAAACGAAGACAGAATATTAACGATTAAATATACAAAAATATTTGCAATACAGGGAACTAAAGACTTTAATTAGATGAAAGGGTTTCGTGTCACGTCTGTTCTGACTTTTATTTAATCTTGTTATAAATTACGCAAATATATTTTGAATAATGCAGGTGATTCATTTGTAGCAGAAAAAGAAAAACAGTAAGTATTCACACTGTTAGAAAATATTAATACAATAAATATATAACTAACCGGATATGTATTTTGTTTGTTTATAAAGTCGTAAATTGAAAGCAACTTTCAATAGTGACAAAATAATTAGATATCAATTATTCATTATGACTTGTCCTTGTTCGAATTATTATTCGAGTTACAGAACAAATTCTCGGGCAAAGATCCCACCAACTGTAAATGTAAACAGCGTGAAACAAGAGTCAACTAAATTTCAACAGGACGTGACCCCACATGACTTATCCCCAAGAGTTCATCTTTTACGTTCAATCCTTTAACCAGTCTACCCACACAATAGTCAGAGTACACCAATAATGGACTATTTCTACTATATCTGAGCTGAAACTACTGTGTTCGCTTTCTAAACTTGACACGGTTCAAAACCGTTGACGTGGCCTTATGGGTGATGAATTATTTTCACCCCTACAGCTCCTTCCACAGACGCAACATCGCAAGCGTATCGTTACACTGTCTCCATTTCCAAGGTAAATATTTGGCCGAGATACATTCCTTAGGTACGCCAGTTCGGACCTTTACAGCTAGAGCCCACTATAGCACATACACAGGGTCGAATAACGCTCATTCCCTTTGTAATACATTTCAAACAAGAATTTTCGAGACATATTATTTATGAAAAAAAAATCTGTCGCGGAATACTTCCCAGAACACTACGTCAATCTACTTCTTTTTATATCCATAACACACACCTCATTCATTAAGTTTCTACCACGGTTGGCTTTTGAGCCTTATATAGGTTCTATTTTAATATAAAAAAAAGCAGACACACGAAAATGGCACGTGACATTTAACAATTTTACTGTAGTATGACACAAGATCACAACTATGAGGGAGATATTTAGGATGAAATTAACTGCAAGTTGTCTATTTTCGCTACCGTGATTCGTTTTTAATTTCTCATCTCCGAAATAAGTACAATTTCACTTCTATCACAAATCTTTCTTTAAAAACTACCATTTTTTTCTTAATTTCTATGATCCAAAAGAAAGTAGACGACCAGATTTCTCCGTACATTACTCTTCTGTAACATCTGCAAATTGGCATCACATTTTAGGAAGACGGTATAGTGTTTTGATTCAGAATTCAGATTAGTACTTGTGCAAGGTTCCTTTTCTTTATTATCTGTGAATTACCATGACATTTTTGGAAAGATATTGGAATCGTTTCCCGTTACCCTATCTGCGATTTGGAATTCATAGAAGTACTTCTCCAAGATTATTTGTTCTTTATTCTATATGAATTCCCATGCTTTCTTGAGAAAGAGAGTAGAGAGGTTTCGTTTTGTCGTCTCTGTTGTTTGAAATTCACTGTAGCTCTTCTCCAAGATTTCCTTTGAAATATCTAATGCTATGGTCCTTGAGATGAATCTGTTGTCTATTGCCTCACTGATTCTGGACAATAGCAGCAAAAGAATCGGTTTAAACTTGGCTGTCAATCAGTCTAAGAGATACACGAATTCAAAATAGTAGTAGAAGTTACAGGAAAGCCATCCACTATTCTTCGAAGAAATCATGGCGATTCACAAATAAAGAAAAGGAGTCTTGGATTTGGACTAGTCTGAATTCTAAAACCGTAGAGAAGACAACAGAAAACAACTCCACATCTCTTCCCCAAGAAGTGATGGCAATTCACAGATAATAAAGAAAAGGAGTCTTAGATTGGGACTAGTCTGAATCTCAAAACCGTAGAGAAGACAACAGAAAACAACTCCACATATCTTCCCCAAGAAGTGATGGCAATTCACAGATAATAAAGAAAAGGAGTCTTAGATTGGGACTAGTCTGAATCCCAAAACCGTAGAGAAGACAGCAGAAAACAACTCCACATCTCTTCCCCAAGAAGTGATGGCAATTCACAGATAAGAAAGAAAAGAAATGTTTGAGAAGGACTTCTCAGAATTCCAAATCGTGAAGAAGACAACGAAAAATCGCTACACTATATTTCAAAAGAATTCAGGAGAATTCACAGATAGTGGTTCAAAATATTACTGAATAGGGTCTATAGGTAGGTCACAGAAGTTATTTGTTAACGACCAATCTTCCGGGGCTCTAGCAATCAACGCTGGAACAGCAACAATTAAGAAGTGGTTACACGCTCTTGAAAACCTACAATCTCCCGATCAGATACCTTGCTGATGGATGTAGTTTATAATCAGTCCGTGAATAAATTCATACAAGTCTCATATTTTTTCTTTTTTTTTTTAAATTTTCTTACAGGAAAACAAAATAAAAGAAAATAAGCCGTTACTTACTCTCTAACTTTTTTTCTATGACTGCAATTCTGTTGTTGACTTCATTCCGAAATTCTTCTACTTTAAACACACTGAAAAATAGAAGGCATAAGATAGCAAAAATGTAACAACTTCAGTAACAGCAATTTAAATTTTGAAATTGCTATATAACACTATTCATGCTTTATCCTCTTTGGTATTTGAATGAATTTAACCGCAGTAACAGATTAGTAGCGACTTCTCTAGTATTGCTATATGCAACCGCAGGTTCTATTCTAATCGTTTCCTCTCTCGCAATTCTCGCTTCTGAGATTCTTTCGGCTTCCCGCTTTACTAAACTTTTTAAATACAAATGTCAATGCTTATCTTCAGTCTCTTTGAATCCTTTTCTTTTATTGTTTTCTCTATCTCGTCAATAACCGTTTTTCTCTGTTTCTTTTGCTCTGAGTAAAACCTTGCGTGATAATGGCTTTATCCCCTTTGTTTGGACTGTAAATCAAGGTGCCCAGATAGTAGCAAGTCACCTCACATCTGATGTAGCTCTATCACTTCAATGTAAAAAAATATATATATATATATATATATATATATATATATATATATATATATATATATATATATATATGAAAGTAAGTACAGGGTACGATGGATAAATAGTCGTCCAAATTACACAAAAATGAAAATAACACTTAAACATTGTAACAAATATCTTTACCAAAATTACACAAAAATATCTTGAAATACTAAAGAGTAAATTCATTCAATAAAATCACCATTGGCTTCAAGCATTGCCTCCAGAGTACTTCGGAATCTCCTGCAACTCTTCTGGGCGAGTACTTTTGTTGACCTCTCGTCAAACTGCGCCCCACACATAATAACCAAGGAGGATGCAGTCTTGAGATTTAGGTGGCCAGGTGTAGGGGGCGATTTTCTGACAGCAATGACTGGGTTCTCCTGCTCCTGTGGTATGGTGCAGAGTCCTGTTGCCATACATACGTTTTTTTCCAGAAGCCACGCTGTTGATTCACTACTTCCTCAAGGCTTCCATGTTGAGTTATGAGGCCTTCAGAAACAATACTGCACTTCTTTTCTTGATCAGAGTCTGTTTTCCGTACCTTCGTAATTAACCTTGAGACTCATCCAACTCTTTCATCTGCGCTGTCCTCAGATTGACACCCAAACACTCTGAATAGTTCGTATTGGAGCTTCATATGCGAATGCCAAGCAGTACAGCATGCCGTTTCCTGATTTCGGGCGGAGTAAATTGCTTCATGGGGCTCTTTTTCTCAGGGACGGTTCCTAACTGACCTTACTATATTGTGCAGACGACAAAATGAAAAACAAACTACGCGCATGCGCGAAATAAAAAAAAAAATAAAATGGCGACAATTTACCCATCGCACCCTGTATTTGGCGGCTCATTGTTATGCCTTCAGGAAGCAACAGTTTTCAATGGATATATCTCAAATTGTTCAGTTAGAGGAAACGCCTGAGAGAACAGTGCATCTAAGACAGGCGTGAGAACAACTCCTTTCCGGTCAGTGGCTCGCATGAAATATAATCAATCATAAGACAGTTCGTACTACTAAGAAACATTCAAAGTAATTTTTCGCTGAAGTTAATGCATCAGAAGTCCGTACGCATCAACACATGCCTTAGAATTGGAGAAAATTTCTTTTTTTTTTTTTAGTTGGCGAAAAGATTCTTTCTGTAATTAAAAAACTGATCAATACTTCTGACACTGATTGGTTTTTAATTTACGAAGACAGGCTGAAAATTTCCTAGGCTGACTATTAAGTAGTGCTGCCCGAGCTGTGAGATATTCCATGCATTATTAATTTCAACTCTTCTAATTAATAACTTCATTGTTTATTTCCAGGTAAACTGATATCTGACTGTTCAAAAACGACATCAAAAGGAACTAGTAGTAACTTCTCTTGAAAATGGACAACATTTGGCATTGTGGTGTCATCAAGAATTTTTTTCCCCCAAGGATATTCATGCTGACATGGTTGCTACATTAGGGAATGTAGTTTTATCAATATTGCAAAAGTGGGTTCTAGGAGGGGAAGAGAGAGTCTTGAAGGTGACGTAGGCACTTGACATTCTGCATCTACTACCATGGAGGAAAACATTGATAGTTTTCACTACATGTAGATAGATAACATGCCATTGATTATAAAGAAATAAAAAAGCCAGTGCTATCAGTATATCACGCAAGTGCGTTGCAAATATTCAGTATAATGAGCTCTCCTCAGTGAGTGTCATATTTTCTGAGGCATGATCAAAAGCGAGCGAGATTTATTACAACAAAGGAAACTCTGTCATTATTTGAACGGAAATCAGCTGTTTTCCTTGAGCGTTTCCTAACCCAGGATGAGTG